GACTTAGTTGATTTTAACTTTCGCTCTGCAATAGGTAAATTACGAATTGGTGCACACCCTCTCGAAATTGAGAGACTGGGTGGTATAAAAAGTTCCAAGTGTATGAACGAATTTGCAAACATTGTACGTTGAATACGGTGGAAGACGAAACGCATTTTATCTTAAATTGTACCCTCTATAGCAATGAATGAAATGAACTCTTTGACGTAGCCTCCAAATTCTACCCCAACTTTCACACATATAGAAATGAAAAGAAAACTACTCTCCTCTTAACATCCGAAAACCCACAAATTACAGAAAAAGTGGGATCCTTTGTCTTATTCTGTCTTCCAAAAAGAACTTAACGGTTAACGTGATTTTTCTCGTTTTTTTTTGCAAGGTTTTCCACTTAAAGTTAATCCTCCTTCGTTTTCGGTTCGAAAACGTTTATAAAACCTGAGCCAAGTTATTTTTTTTACAACAATAAAGGATTTTATGACGCCACTTTATATATATATATAGCTCAAAAAGTTAGTGGAAAGTATATATACACAAACAATGTACGGTAACTAGTTTATTTTCGGAAAATAATATAATTTGAGTAAACAGCATAGACACAAGAAAGACAACATATCATGGAAGCTGTAAATCCAACTATTAATTTGTGTCTTGTTCAGGAAAAGTCATAAACTGTCCATCAGTTGTTCTGAGTCCAGTTGAAGCTCAAGTTACATCAAACTAGCCTCTACCAGGCTTCGGTAGGCGGCTGGACAGAGTAGAAATCGGCCGAAGCGGCAAACTGTTCTCTTTAGCAGAAAAACTCCCCTGGCATGTTACCTCTCTATTTGGCCGATTTCTACTCTTCCAGCCGCCTCCCGATGTCTGGTAGAGGCTAACATCAAATTACTCATGTAGTTTGAAATCTGAGGGAAATCGTAGCCTACTCTATGATCTATCGTGGCTCTCTTGTGAACAAAGAGCAAAAGTCAAACTGCGTTTTACGTGCTAAGAACGAGGGTGACAAATGAGTAGAAGACGGTTTTCTACCGAAACATAAACATCTTCTAACCAGATCATCATGACATCTAAGCCGCCTGCGCGACTGATCAAATCCCTTTGTGCAAGTTCGTCCCGCTGTCTTCCTTCCAGATAAATTTGCTCCCCATCGCTTCGGCGAGACAATCCAGTTTGTACAAACAGGTCGAACCTGGTCTAGAGTTTCTGACACGAGCTAGGAAAACATGGCGGGAAGATTATACGCTTTACTCCGGAGTTTATAAACTAAACTACACACTGAGCGGGTCACAGCATTTCGATCGGGGAATTTAAACTTTAAAGGAATTGCGATGTGAAAAAAAAACGGATGAAGTGTAGTAGTAGTGATGACAAAAAAACGCTGACGAAAGCTATTGATTAAAAACTGAATTTCCAAGTACAATAAATGGAACTTAGCAGAAGGCAGTGCACACATGTTCAAAACACTCACTGTCTAATATAGTAGCTGTTTAAAACACAGTTCTTGAAACACATATAGCATCATGATACAATGGCAAAGGATTTGGAATATCGTTCTCATTGTCAAACAAAGCACATTGTATATTGACGAAATTCGAATGCACTACAACCTGCGCTTCTGTACAGATTAAGATTGTAGAGTGCAACTTGCGAAACAAGTATTATTTGCTCAAACTATAGACTGTGGTCTGTCCGGGTCATATAGTTCTCAAACTAGAGCCCCTGCTCTGTAGGCGTCCACACACAGGGTACAGGTACAGTTCGCGCTAGCGCTGTGGTAGACGTAAGACAGGTGTCTGGGTACAGGCTCGATCAGGTGCAGGCTACGAGCAGGTAACATGTAGGGCGGGTAGACGCCGGGAACCCTCGGGGAGGGTGGGTCACAGGACCCGAAAGCCACACTGGGTCGTGTCGGTGGCTTGAAGTCGTGGTGACGAGTGTTCGAACAGACACTGAAAGACCGAGCTGGTTGGTGAGGCTGGGTCGCCATTGGTGGAGCGTAACTGTAACTACTATGTGCTGAGTCAGCAGATTTTGGTGCTATACCCTCAGCTGCCGGTAGGGGGACATGTCCGTACTGATGCTGCGAGAGAGCTGGATGCTGCGAGGAATACTCTGAGAGGGAGGTTGTGTTCGATCTGTCCGAGAAACTATGCGATGGAGGATACGGAGTGGAGCTAAACCTATAGCTAGGGTCTTTCAGGGGCCCGCTGAAGTTGATGATGGGACTCGTGCCGCCGCCACTTGGCGACCATGTCGGACTGGGCCAGACGGCGGAACCCGGGCTCGCCCAGGAGCGGAGCGACGGCAGGTCGAAGCCGTACGGGCTCGGGAGGCTCCTGTCCAGCCAGGGAGCGCACCGCGGACTGGGGGGCACCGCCGGGCTCGGGTGGTGGAACGAGGAACGGAAGGAAGGAAAGACAGAGTCAGCGGCGCTACTTTCCCAGGAGGGATACCGGTCGTTCGGAGGAGAGGATCGAAAAGACCAGGGAGGAGACGGCTGCCGGTAGAGAGGAGGGGGAAGGCCTGATGCGTAGCCACCGAAGGCCTGATGTGGGTCGCCCTCGGGTGGCGAACGCGTACGGTTGTCCTCGGTCTCAGATGCGGCTCGAACAGGTGTAACGTCGCGGTCACGCTCACCGCTCGGAGTGTTGCCGTGTCCTGTCTGGCACTGGAGCGGTAAGAGTTTCTCAGTGGCCGGGGTGTCCTGGTGGAACGCTTGCTGGACCTGCATAGGTGTCTCATCCGCTGACGTCGACGGGTCGTCGTTTTGAGACGCTGGCTGTTCCGTTCCCCGGTTGTTCTCGGGTGACTTGTTGCCGTCGTGGTGTGTTGTTTCCGACCGATTGTCCACATCCATGGCGGTCTCGGCGTCGGGTTGCTCGGGCGTGGGCCTGTGCGTGTACCGCGGAGACAGATAGAACAGCACGGGGCTGTGGTCGGGACCGTCGGTGACGTCGCGAGGCGACAGTAAGGAGTCGATGGCGTACGGCCCGCTGAATTTTTCAGTCTTGCGGGTCTCCGTACCGATCTTGCCATGTTCGTCTTTTCTTGCCTGCTGTTCTGTCTCCTTCGGGTTGCCTTCCTCGGCGACGCTCGTTTCTGTTCGGGAGTCGTCGGCGTCCGACGAGTCCTGCCGAGTCCGGTCAGTTTTCGGCAGTCGCTTCCCGGCGGTTTTCGCTGGCTTGGAATTTTTCACCCTCGGGTCGTCCACGGGGTCGCTTCGGGCGGATTTCTTCGTGGTGGCCGCCGTGCCGGGCTGAGCCCTCTTGCGGCGCTGGCGGAACGTGCCGTCGGGGTTGAGGTAGCTCTCGATGCCGTCAACCGTCCAGAAGTTGTCCTTACCGAACGGTCGGTCTGCGTCACGTGGCACCTGCAACACGGAATAAAAACAAGCAGGACATCAGAGATGGCAAACTTCACCCCCTTTTACATTTACTTATTTAGGAAGAGATGAAACCTTATAAAACGGTACTCTCCATCACATTGTGGATGCTAGAAAATTTAGAAATCGGGCAAATGCATGGGATAAATTAGATATACTGAGTGCACAGTTTACAGATCTGTTACTTCTCTTGAAGTTGAACATTCGTACACACAATTTCTACTACTAGTATCAAGTGAGTGACCAAAAGGTGTTTGACATAAATGAATGAATGAATGAATGAATAAGTGAATGAATGGAGACATATAACGTTACTACCGTAAATTTTATACTGTTCATGACCTGTGGTGCAGTTGCGAACGCTTGCCACCTTGCAGTAGTTTATGTGATAACTATTTGGTGGTCCATCAGATTATTCTATCGTATCCATTATATAATTTCATAATGTGCCTACGAATACAGCTAGTGACCACCTGTCCACAAAGACCATATTTTATCAGTCGTCCCCTGAATGGTTTTCTTGGACAGTTTTGACTCTATAGTAAGGCCACAGCAAGTAAATTTTATGGATGACATCCTCCGCAGACTCCATCTAATGCGAGCCGACGAAAAAAAAGGCGGGCCAAAAACAAGGTTCCTACATGATCAAATAATTGTACAAATGTTTTTGATTCAGTGAGAACATCACATATACACAGCCAGCATTACATATCACTGCATCAAAGTAAAAAACAAGACATTAAATCAGAGTCTTTTCTTGTCTCCAGTCCTCAGTTATCTGCCATCCACCTTCCGGCATGGCAACAGAATCTTTGCCCATTTTCGGC